CTTGCTTTTCCTTACAACAGTTATCAGCCTTAACTGCTGGATTGAAACTAGACCTTAAAATCATTGAAGTGAACATCCCTAATCTCCACAGAGATCCCAAGCTTCAAATAAAGCACGGCTGCGGAAGAGCAGTCGTATTACGACATGTCAGGGTAGAACAAATTTGCCCAGATCCTCTGATACATGTGGGCTGTCCCTCGGATTAATACAAATGCAGAGGACCTGCAGCTGTACTTGCCATAGTAACTGTGTCAGCATTTCTATTTTTGCCAACAAATATTTTTTTCCACTCAGTTTATATTATTTGTGTGAACAGCACAAGGCCATCCCTCACAAGCAAATCAAGCCTGCTTAACAAATGGCTCTTAATCCTTGATGTGACCACCCCCGCCTCCACCTTCCACAAAAAGCAAGACTGAAATGCTACTTCTCACTTCCTAACTGGAGGTAAGAGGCTGCAAAAACATGAATGTTTCTCATGCCCATATGTTCATGTCCTTCTCTTCTGCTTTGGCCAAGAGCTTTGCAGGGCTGAAGGCAAAGGTGCACCACCTTCTTGTCCAAGAGTCCTACCAGCAGCAGTGGAGCAAAGGGAAGGGTTCACTCACTTTCTAGCATTAAGGTAGAGGTTACTGCCAAAAGCAAAAGGTTGATTTTGTTGAGAGTTTTCAGCTAAATGACTATAAATAAGGTACATACACTTAAACCAAAAGAATGTCTAAAATTTCACTCCTCCTCTGGGAACCTTGTCCTGTTGGCAAACAAAAGCAATGTCTGCAGTCCCCCTCATACCTGCACATCCCTCACATGGGGGCAGATGAAGGAGGCCAATTGGTAATCCACACCAGACCCATCAAAATTCAGTAAATCCTCCCACTTGGTACAAACGAAGCCACAGACAACCTGTGTTGGTGCCACTGCTCTTTACTCATCCTCCCCCCTGCGCCCACCCCAAGCCAAAACGCAGGCTGGCGGAAGAGGCGAGACAAATAAAGAACATACAAAAAGGAAAAGAACCAGCATCAAGCAAATGATGAACTACAAACACTGCCAATTTCACCGTTTTCAGAGATGTTTTCTTGTTTCCCTTTTTCTTTCAAGACAGCTGAGAACAATGCCATTAAAAGGAACGTAAAATCAAGACTCAGAAGGAAAAGCAGCATTAAAGAGAATATGCTCTGCATGAGAAGACAAGATCCTTTGAAACCCACCCGCAACAGGCCCTCCCAAAAATTATCTGCACTGATTTGCTTTGCAGTACGAGAAATATTGAAATTAACAGCACATTAGAGCATCTCGCTTCTCAATTGCCAGAAATGAGTTACAAACCATTCAGATCAAATACTCCCTTCCCACAGGGAGCTACAGAGAAAAAGAGAAACCGCACGGCGTTTGCATGCGGCACACGGAGCTACTCCTCCGAGGGGACATACGTGTTTTTGGCTTTTATAAACTTTGATTGCTTTGAAAAAGATCTTGCGTAAGAGTACAACAAACGCTAAGTGCCACGTACTCAGTGATGTATCGTAGGAAACACCAGGGCTCTGACAATGGACCAGAACTTAAGGATGGGATGGGCAGACTTTTTCCCACCTTTATGATTCTTTAATCTGATCTTGAAATCTCAAAGCATCGAAGCCCAATTCTGGAGTGCAACGGCCAAGTACAATTCCCATTGTGGGCTTGCCACAAACAAGCCTGTCATCATGCACACCACCATACGATGCAATAAATGTGACCCTCGTTTTGCATGGAAGACATGGAGTTCCCTTGTCATGAGACTGAAGGTCCAGATGTACGTGAAAGTGCTGTACAAGCGGGATGCTTATTAGCCATTCTTATATTTAACTCAACAACACCGTTTCCCTAAATCAGTTAGCTTTATGCTGAATTATTTTAGAGCTTGTTTTGTGCTAACCAGAAAATTATCTTTGGTAGAGGATGGAGAGAAATTTGGGGTTTTGGGAGAAGATACTAGAAGCGGTTTAGGAGACCTCAGCCGGCAAGAGATAATCTTGCTATCAAAAAATGTGATGTGTTAGTCACACGGCCATATACTGCCCTCATTAAGTTTCAAAGTTAATACAGTACGGAGACAAATGGAAACAATCACATTACTCAGGATTGTAATTCCAGTTCCTGTAACCTTGTCGAGATCAAGGAGAGCTCAAAATTAACAAGAGGTACACCTGAGCTACTTCTGCGTCGGTGTGAACAAAGGGGGGAAAATAAATAAAGAAAGAAATGAGTTCACGCGTACTGTATCCTCGCCACCTCGGCTGCAGCACCCATCCGCATCCTCTGGCAAGACTTCAGAGTCATCTTAATCCGCTGTTGATTAACCCTGCCATCTTCCCAACCCAGTTGAAGGCAGAGCAATACATATGATAAAAAGAACCTGCGAATTATTTAGTTAAAAAAAAAAGGAAAAGGCGGATGCTGCAGCAAAGCCCTGAGCACTGCAGGGCACGTGGGGCCTCGACGGCAGCCTGCGAGGAGGAACAGGCTCAGAGAGTGCACTCGGGTACGCGTGGGCAGACCCCCACGCAACGTCTCCGAGATGCTGCCAGGAGCCTGCCCACGCAGACCTGGCTACGTGAAACAGCACTTAAAATGCTAATTTTTACTTTACTACTATAGGTATGATTGGTGGGAAGGTTCTGGTTCGCTGTCAAAAAATAGCTACTTTTTCTTAGAAATCGTCAGGCTCCTTTGTGCACAATTCGCAGCGAATCCCAGTGCATTTCCCCAGCCCTACAGCGTCAGCTGCAGCAAACTCAACTACGGGTAAAAATCATTTGTTCTCCTCCTGCTAAATAAACCAGCCCATTTTTGTTTCAACCTTAACAACCACCACGCTGCAAACGATCTGCTGCGATTCCTTCCAAACCTTCTCCCTTCCCTACCAACCCCCCCCCCCAGTAATTGCCAGTTCACAAAACAGGTTCCACTACTATGGAGGATTAAGAAAAAAATATTCACACCTGTGCCCATCTCCATAAGCTCATGTCAACATGTTTCTGAGGAGGAGCAACATTCCCATGCAAGCAACAGTGTGCAAAGGGAAGGAAAAAAAAAAAAAAAAAAAAAAAAAAAAAAAAAAAAAAAAAAACACCAACAACACTTTAAAACTCACAAGTATTTAAAATAATGTGTTTTTCATAAACAAATAAATCATAATTGCAAATTAAAAAAAAAAAAAAAAAAAAAAAAAAAAAAAAGGATAAATCCACACAGCAAAGGCCCGTTTTGCTTAAGAGCGAGAAAAATGAAATGCCTCACTTATGGAAAGGAGCAGAAAATAAACATACTGGGTGTCCCTCTGTGCTGAAACCTAAAACCGCACTTCAGCTGGAACAGAACATCTCCTGCGTGTTCCCTGCAGAGCCCACCACAACCATCCCAGGGTTTGTGAACGTTTCCTGCTTTTTTTTTTGGTTTTTGGGGGGGTGAGGTTGTTCTATTTCACAGTGCAGTCGTTATTAAAAATACAAGGGGAGCGCCCGAGGAACGGCACGGTGAGGACTGCAGCATTGTCTTGACAGATACACACACACAGGCTCCCCCTCCTCTCCGCAACCTGCCTGCTCCTGACAAGCCACGCTTTTAATTAAATGTCTCCCAAGATCTGTTGGGAGGAAAGCACAGGTGAACCCTTGCCAAAAAATAACTTCTAGTGCAAACAGTTTTCCCCTCCACCCCCCCCAAAAAAAAGCACTAGAAGCCATTCACCTCTACCAGGTTCCTTCCTACAGCAGACCCCGTCCTCCTCCTCCTCCACCACTACTTGGTGGCCCTTTCTCCCGCAGCCCTCCCTCCTCATCATCATCCCTCCTCTGATTAAAACACCTGAAGAAACCCCATGCCCGTGGACAGGAGAAGCGCAGGGTGCACAGTCACTGCTCGCCACCTTTAAATCACAGTGTTCCCCCCATTTATCCACCGTGTCCCTCAACATCTCCAGACAACTGCATCCATCTTTCCCAGCCGGCCCTGGGAGAAGACAAGCTGCCCTTGTCCCGGGGAACACTGCAGTATTCTGCAGTACGGCCGCCCGGGCTGTGGGGCAGGCACCAAACACAGCAACGCCTTGGCAGGATTCATCTCCAGGAGCGAAGGGCGGGAGGCGGCCGAAGAAAACCCCGCACGAGTGCCCTTGGCTGCCAAGGATAGATGGGCAGCGCCTCTCCCACCCCTGGGCAGAAGGGCTCGGAGCAGCCGGAAATTCCCGGTGGCTGGTGGAGTCCAGGAGACACCCGGCAACTTGAGACCTTTGCCATGCACACACCGAAAGAAGCACCCACCACCTCCACGAGCAGGAGGATACCACCACGTAACCGACCCAGCAGCAATTCTAATCCAGGCAGGCAGTAACGTTTCAGCATCTCCAGGCTGAGATTTATATATTTTATTTTATTTAGTTTTTCCATCATGCCCATGGGCACGGTGCAGAAATCCTGGCCGTGCCCTTTCCAGCCCCACCCCAGGGCTGACGGGCACCGTGTCCATCTCCTCCCCACCACGCTCCCTCCCGCCTGCCTTCAGCCTCCTCCCCATCTGACAGCCCCAAGCAACCACCAAAAAAAGAAGGTGGAAGAAGAGGGAAATATTTTTTTTTTTTTAAATCCAAAAGGCAGGTTTGGAAGAGGCTGACCCTGGAGCGAGGTAACAGCTTGTGCTTTGGAGAAGAGGGAAGGAGGGAGGGAGAGGTGGCGTCCTGCAAGCAACTCGCAAACCCCAAACCGTGGGGGTGAAGCATCTACAAAGAGCCCCTTTTTTTGCTGCTTCCACCGGGGTTGGGGGGGACACACGCACTTAGCGCTTGGGGCAGGGACCCCAACAGCAGCCCGGGGGGGTCACACACACACAAACACACACACACACACCCCCCGCCCCGGTGCGGCAGCATCTCCTGGGGCAAAGTTTCGCCGGGTCAGGTGGGGAGAGGTGTCTTCTCACCTGTGTCCCCCCCCCCTCCCCAAAATCCTTCAGCCTCTTACCTTCATGTCGCTGATGATGGTCTGGAAGAGCCCTCCGAGCGCGCTACATTCCTTCTCTATCACAGCCTCCATTTTCCTCGCTCGAGCAGACGGGAGGCAGAAACTGCTGCAATTTCACTACTGAGCTAAAAAAAAATATATCAGACACCCCCGTATCCCTCCTTGGGGAGGGG